ACCACCAGTAGACTTGACAACACCAAAATACATTTGCCTCAACATCCACTACATACAACAGCTTTTACTTAATAATATTAAATTAAGACATAGAAAAAATACAAATACTGTACTGTACTGTTGTACACCATACAACCAAATCAGATAAATTCATTAAAAACTAGCAGGGCTTGTTTGAAAAGTACATTGTCCCTTTGGAAGGGGACAAATACTTCATATGAGTAACAATGTCTGGTATGCAAGTGCACACATGCCCAGGTGTGTACAGATGCTTACACACCTGTGTATGTCAACAATGACAAGTCTAACAAGGTCAAAAGATATACTGTACATCTGAGTTCTTTGTATGAGTTTTAAAACTCAAGAATTCCTTAAATACAAATTTGAAGCACAGGAGGGAGTCTGTCACATAGGAGAATGGAATACAAGACTAGATATTGCCAACTGTAGGCCATACTGAGGAGGTATGGCTAGTTATATACCATACAGTGTAGGTATGGCTAGTCATGTACCACTACGGAATGCCTAGGAAAAAATACTTTGTTTACATGACAACTTCCAGTAGAATGTCTAGACTGAGGGTAGTCTACTTAAAATGACTGTTAAATACTAAATCTTGATTTTTTTTTTATCAAGTAGTTTACCTTGAAGGAAGTGTCGACCTTCATGTTATTTTATGAGTAATTTTGGCACAAGTTAAGAGGAGGTAGATGTGTGAACACTTAATATGCTCCTACAGCTCTTGACTTTCGGTCACAGTTTTATCTGTATATACTGATAGTGCTTGTACTACCAATCTACTTGGCTGTGTAGCAGAGTAGGTTTAATAAATAACAGCATTTTCTACATTTTATCATGAGTGATTAGAAGTGCTCTCTGTCATTTAATTTGAAAATACAGAACATTATTTTGGTTTTTAAGTTTGTATTGGTTATGGTTTACAGCTGTCATTTGTGTATAGTACTGTATAGGTAACTCAGTCATGCAAAAACTGCCTTCTCTAGTACAGTATATGGCACTAAAAATTTATATAAAGGGTGTGTGTATATCTATACAGGTACAGTATATATATATATATATATATATATATATATATATATATATATATATATATATATATATATATATATATATATATATATATATATATATATATATATATATATATATATATATTATATATATGTATATTATATATATGACCTGGCTTGGGCAAGAACATCGCAACCAGCTTTGATACCCTACCTCCAGAAAGATCTAACATCCCTAGAAAAGGTGCAACACAGAGCAAATAAGAGGATTCCAGAACTATGAAGGCCTTAGGATTAAAAATCCTTCAGACAAGGCACAATAGGGCAGATCTCATTGAACCATTCAAAATCCTGAAAGGGATGGATGTGAACCCGGGACATTTTTTTGTGATGTCAGGCACCACCAACACGAGAGGACATAACTACCAGCTCGCCAAGTTATGTAGAACGAATATAAGGAAATACTTTTTCACACAGAGGCTGGTCTACCAGCCCAAGCTGTGGAATCAAGAACAGTATTGGGCTTCAAAATTGTCCTTGAGAAAATTATCAAGAACAATGGAAGGATCCCACACAGGCCACTGGCCTCCTTCCATCGGCATGGCCACCTCTAGTGGGTGGCCATTAGGTAAATAAGGTAAATAAACCAACTTCTGTTATAGGCAAAACAAAATTATCTGTTAGCATTGTTATACTTTAACTGACAATCATTGATAAGTTGTATTACCACTCGGAAATACTGTATCTCGGTTCCAAGAAATTTGGGGTCAGTGTTCACAATTAGAAGAACAGTCATTTATTTATCTACGATTAAGTGTGGTCAAGCATCGTGCTAGAGTAAGACATTCCTAAGTGTATGAGGAGGTGGAACTCGGGTTTGGATCTCATTAAAAACCCAACAGTGATATATATTAAGGGTCTTATCACCTGTATTAAGCCAGGGTGCTGCACCCTTGTACAGTCAACCAAAGGTGCATCAACTCCACCCTGGCTCTTGTACCTGTACTCACAATTTTACCTGGAATACTTGGTGATGTATGGCTGTATGTAATGGGAAGTGTGATTGGTGGATCTAATTTTGGCTGTATCACTGTCAGGATAAATATTAAACAATCCAAAGGTAGCATTTTATAATAATAAACTACAGAGTATTCATCGTTATTTAAGATCATGACAATTTACCAAATGTTCATATACTGTATTTGCTTAAATAATATAAAAATTATATTAATGAAGTGGTAACTCAACTACAGCCAGGGCTGCCACAAGATTTACATCAAATATTCTTAATTAATTAAGCAAATATATGAACATTTGGAAACTTCTCATGATCTTACATAACAATGAATAGTTGATTATTATAAAAATGCTATCTTTGGATTGTTCAATATTTATCTTGACAGTGATACAGTTGAGAAAAGATCCACCTATCACAATCTCCATTACACACAGCCTTATTTTACCAAGTATTGCCAGGTAAAACTGCGAGTACAAGAGCCGGGGTGGAGTTGATGCATCTTTGGTTGACTGTACATGACTACTGGTGGTCAAGATGCCAGTTAAACAACACAACACAGCCAAAGAGATTAGAAAAAACAAAGATTACAAGAGTTCAAAAGGGGAGAGTCAGGAAGAAAAGGGAAACCAGAAGACTAAGAAAGGGGCAGTGGGTAAGCAGATTATAAAAATAATTTGGCACAAAAATAAAAATATCCAAAAGGGAATGGGCAATTTAGTCAACTTGTTTGTCTTTCATGACAAAGAAGAGGGAAGGAGATATGAAAGCACAGAGGATTCAGGTGATGTGAGAGAGCATTTAGAACAAGGGTGACTTAAAGGAGCACATAGGACAAAGATGACTTGTACAAGCATATAGGATAAGGGTGACTTGTAGGAGCATATTGATAAGGGTGACTTGTAGGAGCATATAGGATAAGGGTGACTTGTAGAAGCATATTGGACAAGGGTGACGTCAGGGAATACAGAGGACAAGGATGATGTGAGACACAGGCAGTTGCTGCTAGGAGCCATGCAGCCAAGGGAGAGCTGACTGGACATGCTGATCTCCCAGTCACTGAACAACTAACTACTGGATTGTCACCAGCACTGTCAATAGGACGCTGGTACCTGTGTCTCCTGTGCGAGTCCAGAAGCTCGAGGTTTAAGGAATCTACAGGAAAATGGAAGTGGATGTCTAAAGTGAGTCAGGATCATGGATGTGGTCATTTAAAGTGTAGATGTGTTGGAACATGATAGTGGATGCCTAAACTGTTTGAGTTTGGATATCACCAGGAAACTAAAGATGATGTTTAGAGTCAGGACATCAACTAAACCAAGAAAGTGGATATTCAAGATGTATAAGGGGAGTCAAGATACCTTCAGGAACATGGAAGTACAGTAGGCATCTTAAGTGAGGATGTATGACAGGTTATATACAGAGAAGGTTTTAAGATGATTTCTTTATCACCAGGAACACAAAGTGGGCATCTACAGTGTATGTGAAAGTCTGAGCATGTATGGGTACACAGAAGTGGACATAAAATAAGAAAGTCAACAGGACGAGTGAGAATCAGGTAGGGAATTCACTGTCACTTGGTGTGTGTGTGTCAGAGAGAACAAGAAGACCCTTTCTTAGTGTGGTCTAATGAAATGTTTACTGTCCTTTTATGGGATATCAGGATAAGCTAAACATCAAACACCAAATGCTCTCTTAAGTTTCAAAAGGGATCCTGGTCTGAGGCATGCTGAGCACAATAGCTTTTTCCTGGATATCTGATGACACATTATACCTTGGATTTATTTAATTTGGAAATATGAAATACAGGATCTATCAAACTGAAAAATCAATTAGGTATGAAATAACAACATTCTCCAATAGAAGGTATCAAGGATTAAGCTTTTTAAAGAAAGAAAAAGGAGGATGATTGGGCACATTAAATGTCTACAATTGAGAAAGTAGGGAGTACAGTAATTATGATTACTTTACTTAAAATGTATTGTAAGGGGATCTTGTTAACGTGTTGATACTCATTGGTAAATATTAATAGAAATTACATTGAAATCAACTAAGTGGGTATATGATAAGAAAGGAAATTCAGTCAACTTTGTAATGTATGGCTCTTATAGGTCATGGAAGGTCTGCCACTTCGTCTTGTAAGAAAAATATCTTGGACTTACTGGTTGAGGCACCTCTGAGTGGTTCCTTAACTGAATAATAGTAAGGGAGTGATCAGGTAACAGTCACTTATACTGTATAGGGCTAGAGACCGTCAAGTGTATAGGAAGAAAATTAAGGGAGGTTAAATCTAGTCTGCTGGGCCAGAAATAAGGAGACAGTCCATGTGTGTAAGGCTCGAGTTGATGGAAATTAGGTAACTTCAGTTAATGACAAAGGCTTGGTAGGTTAGGTCAGGTCAGGTGAGTCAGCCAGAGGTGAAGGAGGTCGGATCATGTCAAGTGCAAAGATTTTTAAGGTAGGTAAGGTGAGGTTAGGTCAGAACTCGCACCAGGAGTGACAGATGGGCACGCCGGGCCTACAAACCAGTCTCTTGAAGTTGGCTTCTTAATGGCCTTCAGTTTCACAGATTCACAACAAATTAATCACAGGGGTGTGAATGTACATATCGAATTTTCTTGTAACTTAGATAAAGTTGCATTAGATCATATTATTGAACTTAAAAGTTTATGAATGTAAGAGAATGCAATGAATTTAGTTGTCATAAACTAAATTATTTTGACATTGGAGTAAAACAAGCCAATGACTTTTGCTTAAGTATACACGAAAAATGGGACTTGGTCAGGGCCGTCTGAGGAGCAAGTATCTGGTTATGGCACGAAGAGGAAGGAGGTAATATAGACAGATGGCAATGACGGAGATGCAGAGACTGGCTTTGTGGGCGAGGCGCTTCTTGCTGTTGGGATGGTAGCGTACTCTAGGGTCCGCTCACACACACACACACACACACTCACGTGGAAGCTGTTGCGAAGGAGGTCACCCAAGGCTCCAGCAGGTGGAAGTAGAAGGTGAAAGGGTTGCGATGGGTGAATAAGAAGTAGAGCAGGTTCTGGATAATCCATTGGTAGATGAACACTCCCACCACCACTGTCACAATGAACAGGCCCAGGTTGCTCATCACAGTGCCCAGGTTATCAACACTCAGGATCTTGCTCATGATAACACTTGCCACGCCGATGGGTGATAGCCTGAGGGGGATGAGAGATGAGTTATTCTGAATGGACACTTAACTCAGTGATCACTAACTTATACTAATGTGTACTAGATGTATAGTCTGTGTGGGAGTTACAGGAGAGAGAAATAGATTGAGGGATAAACAGAGATTGAGAGACAAATAGATATATAGATACAGTAGAAGAAAAGAGAACAGAGAGAGAGAGAATGTATGCATGTGTGTATTCCTTCACAACACTCACCACATGACGCCAGTCACAATCTTGAGGATGACTGTATCGATGATGGAGAAGAAATCGGCCACCACAGCGCCCTTCTTACCCAGTGAGCCCAGCAACGTGCCGAACACCAGACAGAACGCGATGATGCCCAGCGTGTTGGTCCCCGCCCGGTATTTCACCTGTGACAGGTCATCTCAGGTCAGCTCAGGTGGAAGACAGGAGAGAGAGAGAGAGAGAGAGAGAGAGAGAGAGAGAGAGAGAGAGAGAGAGAGAGAGAGAGAGAGAGAGAGAGAGAGAGAGAGAGAGAGAGAGAGAGAGAGAGAGAGAGAGAGAGAGAGAGAGAGAGAGAGAGAGAGAGAGAGAGAGAGAGAGAGAGAGAGAGAGAGAGAGAGAGAGAGAGAGAGAGAGAGAGAGAGAGAGAGAGAGAGAGAGAGAGAGAGAGAGAGAGAGAGAGAGAGAGAGAGAGAGAGAGAGAGTTGTATCAGGAAAGGAGTATTTAGGTTACAAAAGATCAATTTAGTACTTACGAAACAATGGATAAGTGATTACTGTATTAGGTCAAGAAGAAGACACAAATATGAGACAGGTCAGTTTGCTAATAGGTCAACTAGGGAAATTCAGACGAGGGTGAAGGTCAAGGAGGTTGAGAGAGAATCAGGTAAAACACCATCGATGGAGCATAACCATTACCCCGCCTTATTTTTCTTTTTCTTGGGCAATGGGCAGACAATTTAATCTGACATCTTAAGATCAAAGTTCTCCAAGCATCATCTTTTATAAATGAATATTATCCACTTACAACACCTGAGTTTAATGTTTACAGTGTTAATATTGTCTTTATTTAGGCTTAATCTAACCTTTCCTGTTTAAACTATGACCATAATTTAGGCATTATTGAAACATTGGGTTTAAATCATCCCCTAAAACTTGACTTAAAGAACATACCATTAATCTAGGGGTTTATGGGTAGTTAGTTGTGTGTGTGTGTGTGTGTGTGTGTGTGTGTGTGTGTGTGTGTGTGTGTGTGTGTGTGTGTCTGTGTGGTTGTGCGTGGAGTGTGTGGTTGTGTGTGAGTTTGTGGTTGTGTGTATGTGTGTGTGTGTGTGTGTGTGTGTGTGTGTATGTGTGTGTGTGTGTGTGTGTGTGTGTGTATGGTTGTACGTGGAGTGTGTGGTTGGGGAGTGTGTGGTTGTATGTGAGTTTGAATGTGTGAGTGTGGTTGTGTGTGTGAGGAGTGTGTGAGTGTGTGCTGTGTGTGAGTGTGGGTGTGTGAGTGTGGTTGTGTGTGGGAGTGTGTGGTTATGGTGAGTGTGTGGTTGTGTGAGTGTGTGGTTGGAGTGTGGGACAGGGAGGCATGTGTGTGTGGTTATGTGAGTGTGTGGTTGCGTGTGAGTGTGTGGTTGTGTGTGAGTGTGGGTTGGAGTGTGTGGGTTGTGTGAGTGGGGAGAGTGTGTAGTTTGTGTGGAGTGTGTGGGTTGTGTGTGAGTGTGTGGTTGTGAGTGTGTGGTTGTGTGTGTGTGAGTGTGTGGTTATGTGTGAGTGTGGTTGTGTGGTTGTGTGTGAGTGTGTGGTTGTGTGTGAGTGTGTGGTTGTGTGTGAGTGTGTTGTGTGTGTGAGTGTGTCATCCATCCCTCCAGCTGATGGTAAGATGGACGAAGAGGCAACTTACCGAGCGCACCAGTTCCGTGATCTGAGTATCAATGCCCGTCAGGTTACTGTGCTGGATCACTGTCTGCTCCTCATACACCGTGTGGACCTGCCATGGACAACTTATTAACCACATGTTCTACCATACAATATATTAGCCACCTGGGGTTGAATACATATATATATATATATATATATATATATATATATATATATATATATATATATATATATATATATATATATATATATATATACAGGGTATATGCGGTAAATGAACCCATGGTTATGGGATCGATTTCCCACAAGAGTGGAGGACCAGGTTCCTTCCCATGTACAGTCAGCAGAAAAAGTATCTATAGAGCCGTCCGTAACAATCTGAAACATCGGGTCAACACTTTAAACATATTCT